AGTCCACTTCTTGAATAAATTGTTGCAGAGTACCCTTGAAGGTTTTTTCACTACTGTCAATATCTTGGTGAGGAGTAAAGAAAGAGGCTTGGTTGAACATGTATTGGAACCCGCAAAGTATCTTTGTCTGTAAGGATTCTTAAGAAGTTTCGGAATCCAATGTATGTATGGTAGTTTAATTTCATTTGGGTTCTTTTGGTTAAACATTGGGATATGTATCTAAAACGTTTTTTAAACAGGAAACAATAATGATTTACCCAAAACTGGTCAAAGATATCCGTGCAGTGTTGAAAGTATTTGATAAAATTTAGTACTTCCTAGAAAACTAATATAGGGAAAAGAGGAAACGATCAAAATCAAACGGACATTTTATAAATCTTTTATTACCTTCTGGAAAATTTGTTTTATTCCAGAGGTCAATTTTGGGACAGAAAAGATTAAAATTAAAATATTTAGGCTTTTTTTTTTCGAATATTCAACACCAAAATATAGTCTTTAAAAAATCTAACACCTGGTTCATCCACATTTTTTTTCCTGAGAGATCTTTGAGAATTTTAAATACACGTTTTTTAATTAAATAAGTCTGTTCCTTGAATTATTGTGGTCATACAATGTAGCTCTTCTATATACAAAATATTTCGTGCCTCACTCATTAATTACATAAAGGTACTTGGACACAGATTTGAAGTTAATTTTTTCTCTATAATATTATGACATATTTTAATAGCATTTCACACAAAAGTTAATTAAAAATCTTATTTCAGTTAAAAGTTATTGAAATTTCAATTTTTTGGGCGGGTTTGATTGACACATCTTTGCACTTTCACAAATTTTAACTTAAATTTTAAGTTTTAATACTTGTCATTAATACATAACAAGTTTGCCACTTTTCCTAAGGATTAACAATTAAGTTAAAATTATGCTATACTGAGTTATCTTTTCTTGTAAAAAAGCTTTTTTTTTTACACTTCAGACATTGAAATGAAGGATAGGAAGATAGCGATCAGAAATTGAAACAATGTAACGGATGAAAAAAAATTCTATAATCGTACAGCTAATTAATTAGAATTAATAATTGGAATGAAGTCAGCATTTGATTCAAAGATAAATTGTATTTGCTGACAAGGTCATTTTAAGCTAGGATTCTTCTCTGGTTTCTGACTAGATGAAACATTCAAAGTATATTTGCTTATATGTCTTATATATTGAGGCGTAAGGAATTTAAAAGACCATATTTTTCTTAAATCCCTCACAATCACAATTGTACAACTTTAAATAGAAATGGTAAACTGCGTTTGAAATTTAGCAGGGACTATATTTTTGGCGTAATGTTGGCGTATGAAAATATCTTCTTTTCTACCTCTCAAATTATAATACATAATGCATTTAGTTATACTTTTTACACAATCTAAGACTTGGATACATTTTCAAATGTAAATTAAATTAATAATGAGGGACTAAACTTTAAAAATATATCAAATAAATATGATTTTTCGAACAAACTAGAACTTTGTTAGCATTTAAACGCTTCCTTTTCAAAGTGCAGATTTGAGCCAAAAATCCATAAAAAAGTATTTTTTCTCTCTTAGTAAACGATCAAAACTTTTTGTTTTTGTATCATTTTGTACATTTTGTACATTTATAAGACAACTTTATTATATGTGAAAATAAGGAAAAGTTAAATATAGGAAGCATATGAAAATAACTAATATATCCTAAAAAATTAAGAAAAACAGAGAAAATTCGGATTAAGCAATATCCAGTTAAGTTAAATTATTTATTTTAACTTGGTAATATCATGCTATAGACCCGATATAGTAATATAATTTTATGCAAAAAGAACAATCTTTAAAATTTTGAAATAGAAGTAAGTATCACATGATTGGAAACAGTATTTTTGTATTCTTTATGTCAAGGAAAAAGATAATGACCTTGACCTGACCTTGCCCCTAATATAAAACGGTCAAATTTATTTTCACTGATACTATCACTTACTGATATTGTTTTCTTGATTCTGTGAAAATTTCATTAATTTTTAAATATAAGAAATACGAGAAGAATCCTACCTTAAATGAGGCAACTAACTTTCTTGTTTTATCAACATGTTTGTCAAAAATTTACCTTGTTTTAGAAAAAATATATTTTCAAGAAGTGATGTGAATCATATGTGGAAACTCAAAAATTTCATAGAACTTTTGGACTCTTTAAAATCATAGGCATTTTACCAAAATCAACAGCTTAAAAACTTATGAATTTTCAACTTTATACACAACCATTCCGCACGAAAAATTAAAGACTAGGCTTTTTGGTATCATTGGCGGTCGCTTTTTCAATAAAAATAGAACTCGTTATTTACTCACCTGGTCATTAGTCGTTTGTAAAATTTTTTTGTTAAAACACATTCTGATTACTCACACACAAGTACTCTGAAGTTGTCATAAAAAGATGCTTGAGTTTCTGATTGACAATATTGATGTGGTATATTAAAGACCAGGTCTTCCAGCAAACTACTGGAATTCCCATTGGTAGCAATCGCGCTCCGTTAATAGCAGACCTATTTTTGCATTCATATGGAGCAGAATTTATGCATAATTTATACGTGAAAGAAGAAAACACTTGCTGAGGCCTTCAACTTAGATTTAGATATTTCGAGGACGTATTGTCAAATAACAATTGTAATTTCCATTCCTACGTCGAAACGATATATCCTTGTGAGCTTGAGATAAAATATATATCACAGAGTCTGACACATCTGGTTCAAATTGTCCAAAAGTTCTTTTGAATTTTATAGCATCCACTTCTAATTTACACCACTTCTTGAAAATATTGTTGCACAGTTCTCTTGAAGTTTCTCCTTTATACTTTTAATTTCTTAGTGACAAGTAAAGAAAGAGGCTTGTTTAAACATTTATTTAAACCCTGTATGCATATTTGTTTGTAAGGATTCTTATGACGTTTTTGGAATATATAATATATATATATATATATATATATATATATATATATATATATATATATATATATATATATATATATATATATATATATATATATATATATCTGGTAATTTGATAAAATTTTGATTCTTTGGGATCTTAAAAATTTTCAAAACTGACATATGATTTTGAAGAATTTCCTCCTTAAAAAGGGAACTGTGAGTATATAAGTTTGATTACCACTTGCAGAATTAATTAAATCCCAGTTCTTCTAAAATACAATTGATATAATGAGCTTTACGAATACAAAGTTTTTACCTACTTTGTCAGCGCGGACCAGTACATACTGATCATGTAATTTGTCATCTAATTCATTTTTAACCTGTATTATTGAACACAGAAAGATAGATGTTTTCATATTGCCCCTCAATCTTTCAATACGTAATTTTAACATGAGTAAGTGTCAACGTCTGCTTTTTCATGTGTTCCACATCGGCTGGCGTAATTTTCATTAGAATCCATAATATAAATGAAATTCCAAAGGATCGGGGTTGCCTATATTTAGCACCTTTCAAAATAAGTGATCTAAGGTACTCATTATTAACTGTATTTACATCACCTGTAATAACGTGTCCAGCAGGACTATAGTTATAGGGCAAAGAAGATCATGATCCGATGGATGACTATGCTTCAGATACTCAATATCATGAAGGCCATGAAAAGCTTTCTTGTAATTGAAAAGTTTGGAAGCAATAGTTGATGTCAATTTGTAGGAAATACAAAGTGTAGCCTGTAACTTGAAATATGGTTTAAGTCCAAGAGAAAGCAAATACAATTGCACTGTTTCCTAAAATAAGGATAAAATCTTCAAATTTTTAAGCCAATGTTACGAAAAAAATGTAAGTTAACAAAATTCTCCCGTACGACCATAAATTATTTCTGTTCCAATGAATAATGAATTGGACAAATACAGGTACTTTAGCTAATTTGACTGTAATGTTGCATATTTCATAAATAAGAATAACGGAATATTAATATAATTGAATTGGACATAAGAAAAACGATTTCCTATATAATTATTCTTTCATTGCGTTTTGAAACCTAGAAGTTACCAGGGGACAACCTATGGAAGGTTGAGTCCAGGTTTTGTGGGGCTGTTCCAAATAGAAACCTTTCGGATGATAGCAAATCACTGAACGTAGATAATGGGTAAAAGAAGGTGAGACTGAAATTATCGTAACGTTTGTTGTTAGCAATTTTGTAATTCCAGTTTTTTTAAGTGCTCACTTAAAGATAGTAAAAAGTAAGTCATTATATATAGTATTTTTTTTGTATAGTCAAATAAATGCTTATGAGCATTATAAGAGCAAGTAAATTTGAAGAAAATTGACATTGCCACGGTAACAGTCAATAACAGCCAAACACTTCTTTTAAAATAAGTGCGTGGAATTCACTCTTACCTTTTTTGCGTTGTACTTGAGGTAATGATTAGTTGATAAAGGGTAAAAAAATTAAGTTAAAGTTAAAGTAGAAATCGAACATATCAATACTTTTTAATCTGCATCCTTTATTCCACACGGTAACCTCCTATTCCATGGAGTGAATGCTGAATAAAAAGTGCACTTCACCAGAGTACAGACCGGAAGCATTTCTTAGCAGTCCGGATTTCTTTCTTTACTTCATGTATTGAATAGAAACTTGCAAATTCAACATGTAACGTTGTAAATTAAGTGGTATTAAGTAGTAGCGCGATTTGTTTTTGTTTCTCTCTTTTTGTTCTTATGACTTTATAACCTTTTTCTTTGTCTGGAGAAAGGGACAGGACGTCCCGAACATTTGACACTTTTTATTGTTCGTGTCGGTTGTAATTTTTAGTGCCTTAGATAAATTTCCATCCGTGACTTTCTATTAATTTGTAGATCCAACACTTAGGAAATATATAGCGTTGTTCATTTTTTTAGTGATTTATACATATAAATGAATTTAAATGCCTGTCCCGATTTCTTTTATATCCCGAATATATAAAAAATGATATGAAATTTATTTGTGTCATTTAATGCCTATAAACGTTCTTGCATTGCAACACAATGTAAGGAAATGCACTTGCGGACTGGATATAAAAATATGCAGCAGTTAAAAAACAGAACAATGTCCTGAACGCTTTTCAAAAATTAAATAATGTTTTAGAAATTGTGTTGTTGCCCCCCCTCTCTCTCTCTTTCTCTCTCTCTCTCTCTTGAAAGTTGAAATTTAAATCACTTTATTTCTTCTGAAGAGGGTGCTGAGTTTTTTTTTCCTCGTCGTCATATGGTGAGGATTGTCATCTAAAAGGTTAAGACTGGGATACATTCAAATGATAAATAATAGACACACTCAAATCATAAATAACAGACCATTTCAAATTATAAATAATATAGAAACATTAAAAATATAAATTATAGAAACATTCACATTATAAGTAATAGACATTGGCACATTTTCAACTACTTTTCAGTATCTGCAATGAACAAGTTTTAATTTAGAAGTATTAAATTTAGAAGAAAAAGAACAAGATGTGTTTCTCAAACACTGATGCCCCCGTATGGCAACATAGCGAAGATTAAACTTTCTCAAATTCAGATCAAATACCCGGTATGTTCGTACCTAAAGTAGGACCTTTTCACAAGAAATACAAATCTGATATATATAACACCCTAGCACCATCTGTTCAAAGGTTATGACCAGGCTTAAGGTTTTTAAACGTACGGAAACCCTGGAGTCAAGGTCAAATGGTCAAGGTTGTTGGTTTCTAAAGAAAGGCCTTTTTTAAAAAATACATATGGCAAGGATGAAAGCGCTGGTCCTAACCGTTCAAAAGTTATGGCCAAGGTTAAAGATTGTAACAGTAGGTCAAACTTCAAGATCAGGGTCAATGTTGTAAACATCTTAATATCCAATGAAAGGTCTTCTCACAAGGATTACATATGTGAAGTATGTAAGCCCTAGCCCTTACCGTTCAAAAGTTATGACCAAGGTTAAAGTATTTTCGTAAGCACATAAATCTCCAAAATTGTTAGTTTCAAACGAAAGGTCTTGCTACAAGGAATTGATATTTGAAATATGAAAGTCCTAGTGTCTACCGTTTAAAAGTAGGGCCAAAGTAAGAGTTTGGATTTTTGTGTAAAAATGGGTCAAGCTTCAAAGTCAAGGTCAAAGGGTTTAGATTCTTATTCAAATGAAGTCTTGTCACAAGAATTAAATATGTGAAGTATGAGAGCCCTAGTTCTAACTCTGAAAAATATAATCAAGTTTGTATTTTAAGAGAAGGTCAAAATTCGAGGACAAGGTCAAAGGGTCAAACTTCTTGGTATCAAATATAGGGTCTTCTCACAAGGATTACATAAGTGAAGTATGAAATCTCTAGCCCTTACCGTTCAAAAGCTATGGCCAATGTTAAATTTTTTTCATATGTATGGAAATCTCTTAGGTGAAGGTCAAAGATCAGAGTTGTTGGTATCCAATAAACGGTCTTGCCACAAAGAATACACATATATAAAGTACAAAAGCCCTGATATCCACAAATCAAAGAAATGGCTAAATTAAAAAAATTGAAATTTCTGTGCAAAAATGGGTCAAGGTCAAGGTCAAAAGGTCAGATTTGGTGGTACCCAAAGAAAGGTCTTGTCACAAGGAATACACATGTGAAATATGAAAGCCATAGCTCCACATAGTTTTAAAGTTTTGATATGGTATATGTTATAAAGGTCTGAACAAATTTTAATAACATATTTGAAGATTTACTGTTCATAGAAAATTACTAAATTAATTATTGTCAAGAATGGGTTATAGGAAAATATAAACAGGAATCACAATTTAAAACTTATTAAAAGCAGATACTCTTTTTAATAAAAATCCCCTAAGAAAATCCGTATTTAAAAATATAATGAAACGAGATCGTGCCAACGAATTCCTTAAATAAATTAACATCCTCTACCTTTTCAAATGAATTGTAGTCATAATGCTTCCTACTCCTCTTGATGACTTTCATGACGATGATAATGGCGATGAACAGGGCCCCAAATAATACAATGACCGGGAAAGACGAAACTTATGTTAAGTAAATATTGTCAGAATGCTTGTAATGTAATGCTGCAAGAAAGACTTGAATTACAGTTGGTTGGTATATCTTAATCAACTGAATATTAATATTAAACTAAATATGAGAGAGAGAGAGAGAGAGAGAGAGAGAGAGAGAGAGAGAGAGAGAGAGAGAGAGAGAGAGAGAGAGAGAGAGAGAGAGAGAGAGAGAGAGAGAGAGAGCATGCGTACAGCGGGTTTTGGATTGATTAGAGAAAAGTAATTACACCTTTAAAAATTTTCTTACTCAAGATTGTGAAAAAAGTCCCATACCTTTATTTTTTTTTTTTACAACTCAGTTTTTTTCAAGGCGATCTAAATGCCTGTGGTTATGACATTATTATTGGATCAATCCTTGTAATGGCACCTGATCCCACATCTGATATTTAAGAGGTCTTCTTTTCTCTGTTTCTTATTTGTATAGTTTGAATGGATACCTGAGCTTCATTTAAATGTATGGATATAACGTTCAGTAATCAAGCTCAGAAGTCCACTTTCGAAATTTTTGGGGTCTGTGTTTTATGTCGCCTTGCATTTTAGAAAATAACAGTCATTAGATTTTTATGCCCCCGTAAACGAAGTTTCGGGGGTATTTAGTTTTGTCGTGTCTGTCTGTCTGTTTTCCGCAAAAACGTTAACCTTGCCCATAAATTTTGATTCAGTGGAGCTATGGCATTCATATTTCACATGTGTATTTCTTGTGACAAGCCCTTTCTTTGGGTACCATCAAATGTGACCTTTTGACCTTGACCTTGGAGTTTGACCCACTTTTACACAAAAATTTTGAACTTTTACTTTGGCCATATCTTTTGAACAAAAGAAACCAGGGCATCTATACTTGACATGTGTATTTTTTGTGAGAAGACTTTTCATTGGATACCAAAAACCTTGACCTTTTGACCTTGAGCCTAGAGATTTCTGTACTTATAAAAAATCTTTAACCTTGACTATAACTTTAGAACGGAAAGTGTTAGGGCTTTTATTCTTCACATATGTAATTCTTGTGAAAACCTGCTTTATTGGAGACCAAGAACTTTGACCCTTTGACATTGACCTTGGAGTTTGACTTACTTCAAAAATACAACCTTGATCATAATTTTTGAAGGGTTAGTACTAGGGCTTTCATACTTCAAATATTTATTCCTTGTGACAAGACCTTTCATTTGATACCAAAACCATGACCTTTTGACCTTGACCTTGGAGTTAGACCCACTTTTACACAAAAATTGCAAACTTTTACTTTGGCCCTAATTTTTAAACGGTAGATACTACAAATTACATTTTTCATATATCACTTCTTTTGGGCAAGACCTTTCATTTGAAATCAAGAATTTTGACCTTGGAGATTTCCGTACTTACGGAAAAACTTTAACCTTGGTCATAACTTTTGAACGGTAAGGGCTAGGGCTTTTATACTTCAAATATTTGATTCTTGTGAGAAGACCTTTTATTGGATATCAACAACTTTAACCTTGACCTTGGAGTTTGACCTTCTTTTTACAAACTTTAACCTTGGTCATAACTTTTGAAGAGTAAGGGCCAGCGCTTTCTTACTTACCATATGTAATCTTTGAGACAAGGCCTTTCTTTAGAAACCAACAACCCTGACCCTTTGACCTTGACCCAGATTTTGTCCTTCCTTTAAAAATGTTAACCTTGGTCATAACCTTTGAACAGGTGGTGCTAGGGTTTTTTATTTCACATATGTATTTCTTTTGAAAAGGCCTTACTTAAGGTACCAACATATTTGATCAGCATTAGAGAAAGCTTATCCTTCGCTATGTTGCCATACGGGGGCATCAGTGTTTCACAAAGACATCTGGTTTTGTATGATTATGGTAGATTTTATGTTACTCTTTTTTCTGTTATCACGATGTTGCTTGTTTCTATCGTATTTTTCTGAAGTATATTGCGTATAGATTAAAAAATACAGGTTGCTGTAGTTGGAATATAAGACTCAGATTAAAATATATTTTTACTCATAAACAATTCAACGTACTAAATTTTTAGTGTAATTTAGAGTGATACTAGATTCTGTCGTTGTAAATTCTTCACTATTGGTAAGGAACTGTGCACTGCTACTGAAGTTAATATTCTGTTTTTTGTTTAAGGTAAGATGCCCGCCAAATGATGTATCGGAGTCATCAGAAGTTGATCCGCTCTTTTGTAAGGTATAGGGTACATCTAAAATGTTTTTAAAGTTCGTTACCAGTTTGACTGAATTAAAATTTTGCTTTAATATGATATACTTTTCGATCATCAATAACAATAAATTCAAACTAGACCACATTTCAATGAAGTCTTTTTGGACGTCAGTCTAAAAAGACATTAAAAATTGCTAGAATTTGTGGGGTTTTTTAAAATTAAAAAAACTTTAAACAAATTTTTTACTCACAATCTAAATACACTTACATTGTCCAAATAAAACATCTTACCTCTTGATCCAATAGAAAATACTCTAGAAATCGAAATAAAAAATATGAATTTGACGACACAAGCAGACATTGCCATTTGCAATGTGTAATAGTATCGAAAGCTACGAGACGTTTGATCTAAACAGTTGTGAAGTTGTGAAATAACTCATATTTTCTATATCATTAGCATTCAGAATAGATCGAGGTAAAAACAATCAAGGTTTAAAGTGCAGTTGAGATAATGCACTATTCCACTTTGGATGACACATTACACAAGGAAATATTATACAAAAAAGCATTACCGTTTTTAATGTATTTTTCGCTAGACTGGCCTTGCATGTCTGCTGATATCCGTCAATGAACACCAGCTTATCCATCGGATCCACACATTGTAGTGGAGTCAGCTGAGGGCTGCCGATTGATTAATGGAAGTTAACACTGGGATTTACATCCGGATTTCAATCTTGATAGATGGAAACAATTTGCTGTCCAATAAAAATGGACTGCAAGACATGGATCATATACATATGTTTCTTACCGAAATTCAATTAAAGAAAAATTCTAGGCTTAAGAATATTCATGATATATAGGTTCGTTAACATTTTCTGCACCGATCTGCTGACTTTGACTTACTGATAGTACTTTCATTGTAAAACTGTTAAACGTTATCTCCAATTGGCCAATAGTTTTGTCATCTTCAAATTAGAAAAATTGGATGTCCACCATTTTGAATCGCCATTTTGAACCCTTTAACGCCATTTTCATGAAGACCAGCATATTTTTTCAGATTAAGCATACTCGAAATGATTAAAAAACTATCCTGGACCAAATAATAATTATTTGCCGTTAGAAGTTTTTTTCTATAAATCGGACCAGACTATATATATATCAACGATGTACAAAACTTATGCCGGTGAAGGCTTGTTCTATCTTTTAAAACATAGAACTAGTCGCTGAATGGCGTTTTTAATTGAAGTTGTTAAGTTATCTGATATATACTGCAAATTCTTCCTATACTTTTAAAGTGTTTGTACCATAGAATTAATGATTACTTTGTTATTTAAGTATATGTATAAGAGAGAAAGGGGGAGTTTCGATAAGGCCATTTTGCGGCCCCTCGAGAAATGTTATGAAATTGTGATATGTTGTAGATAAATGTCTTATTTTCCTAAAAATATGAAAATAATTTATACTGCACATTTTCTGGTCACGTGATAAATTAAAGTTTAAGTATACCCCCTTCCCTTCATTTTAGGAGTAGGCATATTTAGAACGAGATACTGAAGTTTTTTCAACGTCAAATCATAAATGAAATGTGGTAAATGTGAACAAAGACATCAAATAACCAATTTCTATATTAATTTTAAAGAAAATTAGTAAAATTTATTTTTTATGAATGTTTTTTAATTTGCAAGATTTTTCTCGACTTTTAATTGTAACTTTTCTTTAAAAGAATGAGAATTTAACTTATAAAAGATTTATATACAGTTTAGACAGAAACATTTAAATGGGGAATTTACTGTCAGTTTATATTTTAACATAATAATCAATTTATAACAGATTTCCCGTCTGTAGGGAGCAAAGGTAAAAAAAATAGACATGAGATAGATCGACTTTGAGTGTAATATACAAGTGTTTAGAAATGTTTGCTATACATTTTCATCAACTAAAATTATAATTATAACTATAATTATGATAATAATAATAATAAATTTATTGTGAAATTATACAGTAATATTTTATTATTGAATTTAATTTTAAATCATGCTTTGAAAAAAAAAATTCGTACGATTAAAGAAATGCAAGTACACATTTATATTATTGTAAAAGTATATTCAAAAGAATCGCAATTGCAATGCTCATTGTATTTTAATGTATAAATAATATTCTGAAAAATCAATATATTTTATCAAGATAGCAATTATTTGTCCTTAACGGTAAAACCAGAGGGACTACAGTATAGTTTCCGTCTCGTCTGTCTAGCTGTCCATTCCTCTGTCTGTCAGTCTGTCCCATTTGGTTTACCGCACTTTTCTCTATGATGGTTTGCTTGCAAACTTTTATTTGATAAACTTGTTTTTAGTACTATATTGATATGATTTTTTTTACCTAAGGAGGGGTGTCAATTTTTTACCCGAAATGCTTGTAAATATTGTGCTAAGTTTTGGTAAATGAGTTAACCTCGAACCGGTGTGGGGATTTTTTTCCCCCAAAAATGCTTGTAAATATTGTGCTTAGTTTTGCAAAATGAGTTAACCTCGAACCGGTGTGGGGATTTTTTTCCTCCAAAAATGCTTGTAAATATTGTGCTTAGTTTTGTTAAATGAGTTAACCTCGATCAATTATAGATCATATTTGTATTTTGTAAATTGAAATTTACATGTTTTTAATTACAAAAATCAGGTTATACTTGCAGGTAGAAAACTATAATTAGTAATGCAACTCGAATAAATAGCCAGATGATAAAAAGAAACTTAAATAGATTGAGTGTCTCCATTTCATTCTGAAAGTATGAAGTATTTTTTAAAACAACTTAAAGATGCACATTATGTTCTCAGCAACTGAATCTAAGTTCTTGCTTCACCAATTTTAGTTACATATAGTAAGTGCTTGTCCAGATCGCAGTTCAAAATACATTTATAAATGCCAAAGATGATAAATCACAAATTCTGCAGAAACATTTAAATCAATATTTATAGTCTTTAAAAAAAATTACGTTCCCTACTTAAATATCAACCATACGTAAAAAAATAACGAACCTCCTCTAGCAGATTGGAGCAAAGGTTTCCATTCGAAAAAAAAGGCTAATGTGATATTTTTTCTGATATATTTTTGATTTAGAACGTTAAGGAATGAACTCGTTTTCACTTCATTCGTTAAATCAGTCAGAAAATAGAGTAAGATCTGGCATCTGGACCATTTCTGGTAATGTGCAACCCTAAATGTATCATCGGTGCACGTTTAGTACACCTTTTACTCTGAGCATACATCAATGAAATGTAAGTCAGACCCAGCATCCGAACCAAGTCTAGTACTGGGCATCCGAAGATGCACCATGAAGCATGTCTTGTCATTAAGTATTGCTAAGAAAAACTTTAACTTACTTTAAAAACATTGACCTCGACACATATTAGCTTAAAACACAGCATCTGAAACCCGACAGATGACAAGGAATTACTGAACAAGGGACTAAATGATATAAAAAAATATCTGCTTGAAATTTTTTTTTAACTGGGAGCGCCAATGCGACGGTATTAAGAAAACTCCCCCTGTTCCGTGTAGTTGAACTAAAAATATGACGTTAACGTTATATGCTGGCGACGAAATAAGTATAGAAATAAAGACAGTATCCGAAAATGTATTCTAATGTTAATATTTTCAAGAATTAACTTTGATTTTAAAAATGTGCTTCTTTTGGCTAAGTATTTTAACCTGGTGTATGATCAAGTAACCAGAAGGTTCTAATTCAAGGTATTCAAATTTAAGACAATTTTCAGTTTTTGGATATGAAGTGCACACGCGACACTCATCATATTGCAAACTATTAGTGTGCATTTGTGTATGTCTAATAACTGGGCAAAATTATGTGTCCCTATATATATTCTAAATATCGATTTATAAATGCCACCCTATTATATTTCCCCATAGGCCTAATGTTAACGCATTTGCGGGTACATCTAAGTTTGTGTCGGCTACGGTGTAAATTTATCTCACATTAACTTTTAAATATTAATAACAAAAAATTAAGATATTCATCTTAAATTCTAAACAAACTTTAAAAAAATAAATTGAAATTTATGTTTACGAAAATAAGTGGGCCGAGAAACGACCTTATCGAAATTTGGATTTGGTCGATGCAATGACCTTATCAGCAAGTACAATATATCATTGAGTCAAATAATGAGTGCTGTTTTCATAAAAATTGTTAGGTCATTATTCACTTATTAAAGTAATTCCACCCTCCTATGATGTCATAGGTTTTTGCAAAAAAACTGTAATTAGTTTAAATTCATACCTAATAGAACAATATTTCTTGAAAGAATGCTTTACAATAGGTGTAATGATAAATATTGTTAAGTTAAAGAATTCAAAAAAATCATATTTTCTATATTAAATCAATTATTCAATTTCTAAAAAATGTTGACAAGGGCAATAACTCCTTCTAAGGTCTCTGCATTCTGGCATTTGCTTTATTGTACAATAGTTTCCCTGATATTCACAATTCAAAAGTATCTTTTAAGTAGGAAGTATTTAGGAACACCCAACATCAGAGTTATGCATTTTAACCACTTTTTACATATTTTTCATAATACTGTTCATCCAAAATGTGTAATTTTTTATGTTGACATACACTTCTCATTATTTGTGCCTCGCACCTTGAATAATATGTTGACCTATATATTTTCTGCAATAATTGGAAAGTTTAAAGTATATTTAATGAAAATAAATGCAGTTTTTGTACTTTGAACCTATAAAATTGTGAGGGTGGAATCACTTTAAATCGTCTAAAGATTTCCCGTTTTCCTATATGTATGACAATGAGGACAGGGAGAGTGTGAACGGTCGACATGGGTGCTAACTTCTCCATGGCACCTGATCCTTGACCTCTTATATGTTTTAAGGTCTGCTCCGATTGTGTATTGTTTAAATAGCACTTTGAGCTTGATGAATAGTCGTTATCGTATTATTTTATTTGAATTGTTTTTAAAATGAAACTTATATGGTTTAATAAAAGTTAGGACAATGGGTTGTTGTTATATACATATAAACCCCTTTAAAAAAATATATGAATGATATCTAGCGACGGACAGACCCTGCAGTGCAGGTAATTTGAATAGAAAGAACTGAACACTTCAAGATGGGTAATTTGTTTTAGAAATATATAGAAAATGGAAAAACAATAAAAGAAACATCTATCAATTCGTTTTCACTTAATTGGAAGTGATAAAAGAATTCACCGTACTCTGCGTATAGAAAGACTGTACTGTACATGAACGATGTTATGGTTCAACCAGATAAGATTTGTAAAAGTATCTTTTTTATTTGTAAGGCTCATCAACATAACCTTAGTTCTGAATAAAAACTTGATTCAATTTTATGTTTGGAAACCCATCTTTTACTCACTGCTTACTTTATAAGGATGAAAAAATGCAAACGATAGTAGTGTTCTCCTGCCTACCTCCAAGTCAATTTTCAAAAGTTTAAATATTCAAATGAATTTATATATACATATATATTGATATTTATATGGACTTTTATAAAACATTTCTTTATTTGTGCAAACAAAAGAGATAATTCTAAAATGTTGGTAAAACTCGTGATTTTTACTATAGAAATCATCGGAAAAC